AACATGCGAGCTCTGAAGTTCGAAAGCCAACTGACGACTCCGCTTTTTACTACTGTCAATCATCTTAACGGACCTCTTAGGAAACAAAACTTTACATCAACGCGGTCAAAAAGGTCAAGGTCTGTGAGTTGTGATTGGTGAATTTCGATTCGTTGTTTGTTTTATGGTTCGTTGTTTGTGAAAAGCGCAGTAACTCAGAGATGCATGGGCCGTATGAGTATGTTAAAATTTTTCACAAAGGTTTCCCAAGACGAGGTTTCCGTTGCGTCTTCCAGCAGTGATCTTAATGCTGCCGAAGAAAATGCAGTCAGACAACAATTGTTTCTTGACACTCCAGAACCAAAGAAGAAAAGGGGGAAATATGGAGAATATGACGCATTTCAGCGAGCAGAGATTGCCAAATGGGGACTTGTGCATGGAATAAGACCGGCAGCAAGAAAGTATTCCATACCAGAGTCCACTGTTCGAGGAATGATAAAATCTTACAAAAAAGAACAAAAGAAGAACGGAAAACTCGATCAATTGCCACGAAAACATCGCGGAGCAAAAACTTTGTCACCCGAGAACATCGATGAGAAAGTTATCTCTATGATCAAGAGCGTGAGAGCAGCGGGCTGCGTTCTTAATTACAATATTGCTGTATTTCTAGAGCCAAAGGTATCGTAATGGCTAATGATCGATCACTGTTTAAGGAAAACGGAGGAAAAATTGATATTCATTATACATGGTGCCAGTCAATTTTCAGAAGATTGGGCTACAGCAAACGCCGAGCAACAACTGCGAAACAACCCGTGTCACCTGGTTTTCAGAAAGAAATTGGCTTCACATGTTGTCGCTCTATTAAAGGAGTGGTTAGTGCTTACGACGTACCCGACGATCTAATCATAAACATTTACCAGACTCCTTTGCCGTTCGTCCTCATTAGTAAGTACACGATGAAAAAACCTAACGAGAAGTTTGTGCCGATAAGCCATAGCACTAATTATCGTCAAATTACAGGGACATTTTCAGTCACCGCCTCCGGGAAGTTTCCTCCAATTCAACTAATCCACCAAGGTAAAACAGATCGGTGCCATCCTAAATTTCACTTTCCAAAAGAATTCCACATCACCCACTCGGATAATCATTGGTCAAATGAGAAGAAAGTAATTTAATTAATCAATTACATTATCATCCCCTACGTGAAAAGGATAAGAGAAGAGCTTGGTTTTCGCACCACAAAAGAATGGGTTTTGGTCGCAGATGTTTTCAAATCACATTGGACAGATACTGTGAAAAATTTCGTCTCCGACAATAACTGCAAGATAGTGACTATTCCCAACAACATGACATCGTACTTGCAACCCCTAGATTTAACAGTCAATCGCTCTTGCAAGGCTTTCCTTCGAAACCAGGCAAAAAAATGGTACTCGGAGCAGGTACAGTCCCAAATCGTGAACGGTATTCAACTAGATAAAGTTTCAGTAGATTTGAGGATCAGTGTACTGAAACCACTCCACGCCAAATGCGTTGTGCAATTTCACGACTTCATGCAGTTGAACGGGGAGATTGTTGTAAAGGGTTGGAGACGTTCAGGGGTGAGTGCCACGCTTGAGGAGCCTCAAAAAAGAGAGGACCCTTTCGAACTGTAAAGACCCTTGATAAGAAGTTTTTGTTTCTTTTTGATAATATCTTTTTTATTTTGTATTTTCTTCCCTAAATACTATTATTGTTAATGTTATCATATGCAATGCCATCTGCCTAAATGGAATACAAATAAATTGTTGTTATCGCTGTTGTTGATTTCATCTAACTGAACAAACCATGCGACATCCTTCTGTAGTCAAACAAACAAAAAAAAAAAATGCGTGAAAAAATGTGCCAGCAGCAGGCAGTGAAAAACTTGCTTTAGGTTTACGCGAATTCTGTGCTATTCTTTAATTGTGTAATGACAAAAAGGTTAACTGCATCTGTTAACTCCAGTAAAGAAACCAAATAAGAAAAATGTTCTGCGCGAATTTGAAGCTGCGCGAATAAGTCCTCTATAAGGTGCGCGAAATTAAATCGCGCGACATTAAGACTGAGCGAAAATGAGTACCACGCGAAATTTTAATACAAGTAAGGTAATTAACTTCTGTTCTTGCTTACATTTAAGAGCAGAAGAGAAACAAAAAACTGCCTACTACCAGGCCACTACACCTGCAGTGGAAAAACAGTAAAAAAAAGTCGCATGATCGACTTCCTTTTTTCATGAAGGTGAAATCAATTGAACTGATTCCTTTAAGGGAGCAAGGGGCAAGTAATCCCGTTTTGGCTCTGTGAATAACTTTAAATCCGTCACGATTTTATATAAGTGCAATTACTGTTAATTTTCTTCAATTTACAGCTGGATCTAGGTATTCTTTTTGCAATGATTTTGAATCGGACGTTTTTAATTAGAGTCTGTTCGCGTGACGTCATATAAATGTTCGAAAACGAGGCGCCGCCATGTTGGAGGAGTGATTCTTGAGATGGCGGTCAGTAAATTGAAAAAATATGCGTCTTCGGACAAAGTGATTGCGGATTTCAAGCTTATATTTTCAGCTTATGCCAACTCACTGGAAGGCAACATTAAGAAAAGGTATGTCGAAAAAATCTCAGTGATCGGCTTGAATCCTTTGCTCGTTCCGGTGCAGAAATATACTTCGAATGCCTTCCTCCAGTCGAAGCTTGTGATCAATAATTCTTGAAACTAACCTGTCCTAGATACATTAAAGCGATATGCAAGGTCTTGATTTGGTACCCCGAGACGCAATTTTATGAGAATCATAATAAACTCCTGAGTTAGTCAAAAGAAGAGGACGTCTGGTTACACGTGGTGACAGGAAGGAGAAGGTTTTCTTTAATATCTCTAAGGACGGCAAACCGGTATAAAAAACGCACTTTCTCGTTATCTCCTTCAAAGTAATCTTCTTCAAAAGCAGTGGATTTCTGAGGCAGCTACGTTTGTTTTGTTCTAAACATGTAGTAACACTCCTCCGTCTGAGTGTTGCACGATCTACTGTAACCCTCTAGATCGATCTGCGTTGAGGCAATGTTTTCAACGCTTGCCTTCTCTTCTTTCTCTTCCTCTCCAGTTTCTCCAAAAGTTTCCCCTCCATTCATCATATATCTCTTATTCGCTCTCCAGGCTCATTCACCTTTACAGCTTTCCTTTGCATAGCTCCCTGCTCCTCACGTTCTCTTTCGCGTTTTCTCCTCTCGGTAATCCTTTGTGCTCTTTTTGTCGCTGTTGTTCTTTCCTCTCGTCGGATTCCTTTAGCTTGTCGTGCCCCAGATGCAAACTAGGAACCCAGTCTGGGTTTAATCGATCCCATAATTATGCTGCTTTTCCCGAATGAAAGTGGATACCGCAAACCAGGTCATTTTCTCCGTCAAGTCAGCTCGACTAATGCCAGCTAACCACCGAGTTCGCCTTTCGGTGGACAAAATCTCAGTTTCTTCCCCTTGATTGGTGACAATTTTTGGCACCTGACAAAAGCAAAGCCCTAAATTCTTCTTTTTGTGATAAGAACAGCCAACGACGAGACAGAACGAAAGCATCGCTCGAGAAATTACGCTTTCGAATAAAACAGCTTGCCACAAGTGCTACTTTATTTTCCGTTTTCATGTCGAGTTAAGTGGCATTTTCGGTGAATACGGGAGTAGCGTTTTCTGTTGCTATTCGTTTTTTTTTTTTCTCAGTTGTAAGCCCTGTGGTTAACTGATTTCTTCTTACCATTGCTTCACGGCTCGCTTACAGGAATTTTTTCCCCATTTCGCTCATCTCTACTACCCTTGAATCTTTCCTTATTTCGGTATTTGTTAATGCAAATTAGTTCAGTCTTTCTTTGTAGCTCACCGGCCTAAATGCGATGCGACGATATCACTAATCATGCAAAGTAGATGAAAGGGTAAATCCAAAGGCGACCTCACTATAAGTTAGGGAGGAATGAACAACAATTTGGGTTTCTGAGTTTCTGAAATGCAAACTTCAACTTTCAAGCAGAGACTTTTGTGAGTTAAGCAATCAAGCACAGACTACTATGCTTGGGTAACGCAGTTTATCAACCAGAAGAACGAGATGTAAGTAATGGTGATGTGGGCGGGGGGAGTGTTGACTAGCTCAAAAATGGTTCTGCTTTAGAGCGATCTGAAACCCGATGCACTGAAACAGAACCAAGATCTACGGATTAGGGGCGTGCTCTCTAGCCCTAACCAATTACCCATCATCAACCAAGGGTGATCATTGCACGATTAAAGAGGTATCTTCAGCCTTCTGCTGCCTCGATCGAGGTCGCTATTGTAAAGCTCTCTTGCATCACCAAGCTAAGCAAATAGCTAGAGGTACAATTTCAGTAAAACTGATACGGCTTTAATGAGTTATTTCTTGGTGATTTATAGCTAACATTTTTAATTTGGAGAACATTTCATACTGAGATGTGAATTTAAAAATAAACCTTACCAGACTTACGCATGGAGAAAGGTCTGTCGGTAGGTTCTTTTACATATATTTTTTTAAGGTTGTTTGAACAAAAACCTCGCACTTCCCTTTTATCAATATTACCTAAATCAATTTATGATAAAACGGCGACGAATATGCGATGATCTCTCTAAATGAATTTGGACGTCGAAACAAACTTACGCCAATATTACCCTGTACAAAGGGGAGATTTTTCAGGTCTAAAAGCTATGGGGTTAAAATGTCGGAATTTGAATTTGCGATTTATCACAAGTTTTGTGGTGGAGAGACACCTTTTATAAAACTGTTTCGTGCAAAAGTGGTCTCTTGTATAAGGTTTTATATCTATTTTGTCCCCTATTTTCCTTACAAGATAATGTTTAAGGTGTTTGCACACGCGTGATTTTTGTTTTTGTTTTTTTGAGAAAGTGAAGAGGAGACCGTGTTTGCTAAATTTGATATATTTTTCTGCTACAGGCACTTTGTTTTTTTGAGGGATCAGGTGTCGAAATCAACTTACTAACAAAACATCATTCTGCTGTTTAATTAGAAAATATCACTGCAATCTTTATTATTTGCATGGGTATTTTTCGTATCATTCACATTTATTTCTCACTACATGATGTGTTAACTTTCAGTCTAGTACGGTAGTAAGCACGACAGTAAAATGTTTCTGATATCCTTACAATACCATAATATACAGACACGTATGTGCGCTTTTACGGCCTGAGACTGAGAAAGCGTATATAAGTTAACACCAAGGGTAATATCGAATGTTCCACGCCAACATATGTGATTTCCTACAGATTTTTTTCTAACTGGTCACTTCATAGTATACCTCTATCTCATCTGCACGGAAATTTCTATTTCCTGTCCACATGTATCTGCTACAGTATGAACCGCCGTAAGCGTAACAACCATTGAAGTAAGAATTGTAGTTACTATTTGCGTTGCTTGCAACGTAAATATCATGTCCATTTCCAAATGTTGGACCATAATTGTAATAGCTGTATGTTGCATGATAGCGGCTCCACGAATAGATATTCTTTTTTAAGTATCCATATCCATAATAGTTTTTCAGGGAAAATAGAAAGGCGGTTGACGAGTAGGTGTATCCATTGGTCCCTGAAAGAGAGCAGACATGGAATGTATTAAGTTAGAAATTCACACGAACCTGTGTTTAAATAGAGACGTTTTAACCGATAATTAACACATAAACAGCAGACTGCCATGGGATAGAACCTAGGATGGAACCAATGGTAGCCAAGGTTATGATGGCGTTATTTAAACCCTTTCACTTGTTGTTGGTATTTTGACTCGCCCTACGGGCTCGTCAAAATACGGAACAACTCGTAAAAATACTCAGCGATACTACACAACCAAACGTCTGATAAGACGTATTTATCAGTTGATTTTCAATATTGCTATGAGTTTTTTTTGTTTACCACGTCTAGTAACTATATGAAAGCGAAAAACATGTATCATAAACCACAGAGTGTACTCGAAATCCACATGCTGTGTAAGTTTAAAAAATAAAGTGAAATTCTTGTTATTTTGCTGATTTGTGAAGAGTTAAGATTCTTTTTTCGATTGGTGTGCATGATTCATCTTTAATGATAAAACCGCCTTGACCCTGCAACCGTTCGCCATGATTTCGACATATGCATACTGTAAGACAACACTGGTGCTAACATAATTGAGATTCCGAGACAACATGCTATGTAAAACAAAACTTAGAGACTAGCTCCATCATTTTATTTGTCTTATTTAAAAGTGCTCATAAATAGATGTTATTTTTAATTATTGTATTGGGGATCTTAATTCAACTCTCAGTTTGGTTCACCACAGTTCTTTCTATGTGTACTTAATTAAGAAGCTAGCTAAGGTTTGTATCTCTAGTTGTAAACCAAGGAACCAACTCAATAACAAATGTGCGTGAAGACGTAATTGCCCTTTTCAGCCACAAAATTCAAGGATCTTCCTGATAAACTTTGTTATAACCTTCAGTAAAACGCAAAACGTTCGCGTTGTGTGACAGTGATTTGCTAAAAGGTTGAAATTAACATCTACTACGGTAAATAAACGACTGGCAATCCAGAAATTGCGTGTTACTCCACTTTTAAAAACAGGTTACTTCTTATAGCTTGATATCGTTATCAAATTTAAGTAAGATAATGGAAATAAAGGATCTTACATCCCCATGAGCTACTAGTGTAACCGCCAAATATGTAACCATGAGCTTTGATGATGGTCACTGTTTTTCCAAGGTTATCACATTTCTGATGAAATGTCTGTGAACTCCACCCATGGCTAGAAGCTCTATAGCACAGTTCCCAGTAACTTCTTGACTGACTCGTCAAGCGAGATTGAAGCCAGGAATCTAACTGGGACATTCTGTTCGTGTCTCTTCCTATGATGGAGGAGTTTCCAAGGCCTCCTGCAAGGTATAAGATGAAAAATCCGTACTGTTTTATCAATTAGCGCCTTATAACCAAATGGTAACTATCATGGATTAAAACTTGCAAGTATAGTGTTTCTACTGACGACCGGAAAGCCCAGCTGCAGAGCGATACTAAATCGGATCCCAGGCCACAGCATCTGCCACATATCAATATCCATGAAAATAATTAAACAAAAGCAATTAAACTATCAATGATGAAAAAACGAAAAGACTTACGGAAACCATAGCAGGTTGTCCCGTTGCCATAATAGTTGGCTGTATTGTTACACTTGCAAGTAAATGATCCTTGAGTGTTAGTGCATTTCGCGTTGGCGTCACAGTTATGATTGTTGATTGAACATTCATCGACATCTATAAAGAGAGAGGGGACATACTAGAGTTGGCATGGGTCCATGATTGCTATTGAAAATCAGTGATACTCAGGCAGTGATTGTTTTCCAAATGATTTTAAATGAAGTCGTTTTGGATACCCTAAAAAAGAAATTTTGTTGCGAGGTTCTCCTCCTTCTGACTTACTCGGTGGCAGCGGTCGATCGATGTTTGGATAAGGCCTACTCTGGGGCCTTAAGTCGCCGTAACTTTGGGCGATTTAAGGCGACTTGAGCAAATTGGTATAAAAAACGTTGCGACTTTAGGCGATTTAAGGCGACTTGAAGCGATTTTATTTGACTGAAGCGATAAATCAAAGTTACGTATATAAGAACGATCCTTCGCAGTAAAGCACTATTTGAGCAATAGTGGAAATCAGACCTGAAAAAAATTTCAGGCCTGTACGGGATTCGAACCACTGACCTCTGCGATACTAGTGCAGCGCTCTACCAATTGAGCTAACAAGCCAACTGGGAGCAGGCCATCAAATTAATTCGATATAAACCCGTAGATGATAAATCGAACAACAACAAACATATGAAACATATGAGTGAACTGCGGTTATGAGACGTATATAAGAACGATCCTTCGCAGTAAAGCACTATTTGAGCAATAGTGGAAATCAGACCTGAAAAAAATTTCAGGCCTGTACGGGATTCGAACCACTGACCTCTGCGATACTAGTGCAGCGCTCTACCAATTGAGCTAACAAGCCAACTGGGAGCAGGCCATCAAATTAATTT